CCACTTGCTCCAAAAGGTTGCCATCTAGGTGGTAACAGGGACTGTTGTTAGGCTTGCGGGACACTCTCATTTGTTTACATTTACTAGTGTTTAGTTTCATTAGCCATAATTCACACCAACGAGAGACAGAGTTAATATCAGACTGAAGTGTAGACAGGTCAGAATCGTGACAGATTTCACGGTAAATAACACAGTCATCGGCAAAGAGACAAACGGATGAAGACACATTAATGGGAAGATCGTTAATATAGATTAAAAATAGTAGTGGGCCTAAAACCGACCCTTGAGGAACTCTAGAATTCACAGACACGGGAGGAGAATTTTCGTTGTTCCAGATGAATGTCCGGATGATGGTGAGAATTTTGTGAAATAGGCAGAGACGCGAGAATTTGCGGCGGGTAGCTAATGAAGTTTGGTTTAATTGAGACTTTAGAGCCGTAACGTTAGCAGTATGATCGTATACAGAGAGTATGTAGCGAGCGGCACGATTTTGGATGGCTTCAAGTGGGGTGGTAAGGTAGATTTGGTGAGGGCTTCAGATGGCGGCGGCGTACTCAAGTTTTCGTCGCACGAATGTCTGGTAGGTTAAAAGACGAAGATTTGGTGGAGCAGAGTGTAGGCAGCGTCGGATGTATCCCAAAGTTTTTGATGCGGCGAGTGAAATGGATTCGATGTGAGCGGCCCAGGATAAATCGGAGGTAAGGAGCACGCCAAGGTACTTGTATGATGGGACGTCTACAATGGGTTGGGTGCCAAGAGAAAATATGCATGACGAAACAGACTGAATCCTTACTTGTCGTACGTAAGAATTGTAATGTAAAGGGCCCCAGTTTTCATTAATTGAATGCTGGTCTAAAGTGGACATAACCGAACAGTGAAACGATTCTAAGCCCTCGTTTATTGCCTGATAGTTTGCTTTGTCATAATCCATGAGGTGTGTATTGTATGCAGAGTTTCGGGTTGTAGGAATTTCCAGCGAAATATGTATTACTAATTGATCACTCAGCCTCGCAAGGTAAGAGATGTTGATGTTGCTGGGATGAACCAATAAGCATAGATCAAGAGTGTTGCAAGAAGAACCTAGAATCCCGGGTTGGTTGATTTGTCATTTGAACTAGTTTGAACGTTAAACATATGTGTCAATGAACGCACGTGACGTAGCACATCGTGACAACAAAGAAAGCCAATATATAAATAATTGAAATCACCAAGTGGAAGATTAGCTCTCGGAAACAATTTGGAAAGGAAAAAAAAGTGCGTCATAAACTTCTGCAACAAAATCATGCGACTAATTTCCCAGTAAGGCATGATGCAGTCGTGATGATGCAATCAGCCAAACCATTTTTTTCCAACGATGACGGCACTGCTACCCGATTACAAGATACTGTGTTTTTGGCGGCGATAAGAACACCACCACCCCTTTTTTCGTCTCTATCAGATCTAAACGATACGAAATTCATGTTTTTGGGAACACTTCTCGAACTTTATTTCTGGGCGTAACCAAGTCTTAGTTAGAAACACAATGTCAGCATCTGTCGATTCATTCAATTAATGCAGTTCATTTCCTTTGGATACACTTCTAATATTTGTAAAAATAACCGAGTGCGAAGTGTTTAGGAAAAGCGAGACCTTAGAGTAATTTTAATGGAGTCGTGGCATAGGGCTTATCCGGAAGTTTTTTCACGCCATTCAAATTTAAGGCGAAATTGCTCAAGGATGCACGCAGGTCCTACATATATGCAACCAAGCGAAACGTGTTTTTTTTCTTGTTTTTTTTTTCTAACAGTTAATTTAATATTTAATTCAGATGTCACATCAACGGATTGAGCGTCGAAAAGCGGTTGTTCGAATAAGTTATTCGAACAACCGCTTTTTGACGCTCAATCCGTTGAGCTCAAATCCCGGATGACAACGACACGCGCTAAACTGCCGCATGGGTGATTCCTTAGTGTTTTCCTTTTTATGTTTTTTTTAATTGTTACGTGATACTTCAGCTATTATTACGATAAAGATAATACTCTCTCGCTAAAGTTAGGAGTATGAAGTCCGTCTGGCTCGCGACGGATTGTGATTAGAGCTAGGCGATCTAAGTGAACCGAAGTGCTTCAATTTAGACCTCAATGAGGTTTTGGAGTTACTCATTCAATTGTGCAAAGGTATTTTTTGCGACATATTCTAATTTTGACCTCACCAGTTCCGCATAAACTTTATTAGACATTTTCTGGTTGACCTTGAGCCCACCAAATGTTGCAGTGCAACAACACAGCTGAGGATTGACAGTCAAGCCAAAAAGCGCCTTATTTATCTGGGTGTTGTGAAAATACACAGGAAAGGACAAACACTATTGTTATTCCGTGATTCCCAACATTTTGGACAATCAATGTAAAAAGTTCGAAGAAAAAATCAAGGTGTATTTGAGAATGTTGAGACCTTATGGTTATGGTAACCATAGGGTCTCAACAAGTTTAAGATATAATTATTTTCTAAAGTGTTACCTACACAACAATATATGGTCAGACAGCTTATTGTCATAGCTATGCGCTAGTAGTTGTTTCATGCCAAAGGTTTGAACGGTTCATTCTCTACAGCAAAAGGAATGCGAAGCAATATTGCTCTAAATAACTAACTTGCCATTTTCAAAAAAAAAAAAACAAAAAAACATGAAAAACTTTAAAAACTTCGTCGTTTAAGGGTTTTTAGCAGTTACTGCTACGTGAAAAAAAGATATTAACAGCCTGATTGAAGTCAACAGTTCGTAAAACAACGGCCTAAATTGCGGGGGAAAAAGTTTTTGATGTACTCTGTTGCGTAACACTTCGTTTTTTTGTTTTTTTTCTTTCTGAAGTCGTTATGTTTTGTTTTTAAATGCCAGTTTCGTTCATTGCAGAAAACAAACTATCACTTAAATGCTTTGCAAAATTGGTGGGCGCTCGTTCGGCCCGAAAACAAAAAGGCAGGAAGCATATCTTAAGGTGGGCTTCACCGCCCTGTAGGTATACGTGCTCGGAGAAGCGGCTGAAGTAACACGTCGGAGTCGATCCAACGCCGTGTCACACCGTCACCTGACCTTTTGGAGCCTCGCAACTGGCGCAACGACGCGCGGTGGGAATAGTCACGTGTTACGTTCACAGCGCTGGATAGGCTGAAACGGATCGTAACGTCCTCTGCAGTCCATCGCAAGGCAGGGACGGGTGCTTGGTACGTGTCCTCTGCTTGTTTTTCAAACGCCTCACAAATAGCTGGCGAGCGCCTATTGTACCATGTGCGCATGCTCGGTATTTTGTGTGGTATCGTCGCCGACGACACGGAAAAGCCCAGCCGAGCGCGTGGCTTAACAAGAAAGCCTGCTGCGCTGTCTATCAGAAGAAGCTCAACCTTTATCGAGGCTTCAGCGGCTGTTAAATTTTTGTCGCCACTCCCCACTTGACATGCTGAGTTAATGCTCGTCTCGTTGAATTAGAGGCGTTCCGGGACAAGACGCAAAACCAAGCGCGGCTGAATCCACCGGGTCGGCAGGTTCAGCGATCAGTGTTAAGGTGTTTGATAATAAGTTCGCGGAATCAATGGCGATAAGCGGTTTTCATTTCATTTCACTGAGCATTACAACTACGCATTACAAGCGTCTTCTCTCGCTATGTCACTCGTGTTGCGGCTCCAGCACGTGCTGGAGGCGGGCAAGGCTTCGGCATCTCTTCAGCGTGCAGACGCAGCGTAGCGCGGCGAAAAGCAACGAGCGTGTGCTGGGGAGGTTATCCAAAAAGACGCCTTGCCGTTCCCATCCTTATTGTACAGGAGGCAATCATTTTAGGCGGCCGCTAAGAACACTCCCACTAAAACAATTCTTAACTAAAATAAAGTAACAATAAGTGCCGAAAAAAAAGTAGATGTTTTAGATTTAGGCGCACCCTGTGCCCCCCCCCCCCCCCCCCTCTCTAAAAAAAATCTATTTTTTTATTTATACATGGAGAAAGAGTAATTTATATTCAAAACAAGAATTAAATTACCGTAGTCCATTTACTGTAATTGAATCGCTACCCAGTTAGGGAGTTTATAGACCCGACCGTCAATGCAATGACTTCACTGCACGGCAAAAGCCGTCAGCGCAAATGCATTCGTGGAGACGTCGTCCCACGAGGGCTCCCAGGCACCGACGGCGCGAGAAACAAGAGGCGACCAGCGAGTGTCGGGTGTCCGGGCTCCTTGGATCGGTCCGTACGAATTTCGCGGTCCTGGGGATGAGCGGCGGCTAATGCGCAGCCTACCCGACAGGCGCTCCCACGCGGTACGCTAGGCCGCTTCAGCTGTTACTTACGGCGCCTGGAAATGGACAAGAATGGCCACAATCAGTAGACCGCCGCCCTTCAAGCGGCAAGGGACGGCTGCAACTCGTTTTACCGTAACTTGGAGCAGCAGCACATGCGGTAAAGGCAGGGAAAAAAAAAATCTCTGACGTCATGCCGCTGAGGGGGCGCTGTTGTCAGAACCTTCATGACACTAGCCTCTGTGGTGGAAAAGAAACGATAGTTTTGTTCCACCTAACGCTTCACGCAGCGTCGGCTGTCAGCGTCTCAGAAAAGTATAAATGTCACTTCATGTCGTTTTATTTTTCCGCAGTGAGACGTCTGAACTCCGACTGCCCTTTTATGCGCCCACAAGAATTTACATGTGACACCCACTGCGTGCACTAACAACAATTAAAGACACCACGAAACACTCACGACATGAGAATCACTGTCTTTGTGGACGCGAAGCTTAAAATACTAATTTCGCAGATTATTATCTGAGTAATTAATGAACTTACAAGCATGGTGTTGGTTTTTTGTCTTTTTTTTTTTCGCCAATGTTTTGCACTTTATTTACTTTCTCGACGTTCATAGAGTATTTATATGCTAGTCAAAACCATCGGTACATTATGATCTTCGCAAAATATTGCCGTACAAACACGTCAAAAGTGGACAATGCGCCCCCCCCCCCCCCCCCACACACACACAGAAGGAAAAAATTACAAGGTTGTTTTGTTTGTTTGTTTTTTAGCGCAAAAATAAACGACGCATCGCTGAACGCTCGTTCTCCACCCAAATACAGTGCTAACGGTCCAAACAAGATGCCGAAATTTCAGAGATAATTAATCGCTATCTTATTAAAATGTTATAAGCGATTTTCAGAAATTTTCATTTATCAGTGGCGGCCATCGGAGCCCTCGAACACATGGTGCTGAAAGGCGCTAGTTACCCAGAAAATGGGACTGCCACATTTTCTAATTGAAATTGCCAAAACATCACTTTCCTTCCTTCCGTGCTTGTTAGCAGGACACAACCAGATGCTATCATACAGACTACCAAAACTTCGCATGGCTATGGGATGATCGGTATTCGTTGCCATGGCAATCGCCATTTCGGTCCTTCCAAATATTCAAAGCCTCGAAAAAGTCATTCTGAATCAGCTTTGCCAATATCGCTATGGAGCGTTATCATACTGAAAGGGAGTCCCATACTATAGTTCAGCGAAATTTCGTCAACAACAATGTTGCCAAAATGTTCGCGAAAAAAATAAAAAGTAAGCACACTCTGTGGATTGAACCTGGGTCCGGTGCGTGTGAAGCAGGCACCTTTCCACTAGGCTACGATACCTTTTTTAATTTTTTTTTTATTGCAAACTGTAGTTTTTTGAAACCATTCGTTTTATACGAGACCAACCAAGTTTCGCGTCGTGCGTTTATCCATTTCCGGTCGAGGTGCACGTGCGCGTGCTCGTGCGTATAGCTTAACTCATATATTAAAGTACCTTTGGTTATTTTTTGTAAAATATACTTGTAACGAGGAGGCGTAGTTTCGGTTTGCTTCGACTCGCTTGGTGCCAATCTCGAAACTATGCACTCCTGCGAAAACGGGACGCGATTCTTTATTGGTACCAAAAGACGGGACGGCAGAAGCGGACCTCAAACATGGGACTGTCCCAGCCAAAACGGGACGTCTGGTCACCCTACCTAACCAGACCAAGAGTCGGTGAACGCACGCCAAAGCCAAAGGACACCTACAGCTGGTGCAGAGAGAGTACAGCTTGAAATACGTGCTCGACTTTCGTTTGCAGTAAAGCCACGAGCAACTGCATTATTATTTACTACGATTTGTGAGCATCAAAGGCAACTGCGGACGCAGCGCTACTTGAGAAAATGACAAGATACCCACATCGCCATATTCGTAGCCTTTCATAACGTCACCACAGAGACGAAGAGTTGGACAAAAGTTTAGAGCCAATATGGTGGCCGCCTTGGCAGATGACTCAGCAAGCATAATCCTGAGCTGTAAGACAACAAACAATGTAGAGGCACTCTACCCTATACCGCAGTTATCGTAAGTCTGCAGCTAGGAATTCACGAAATACCCTCGGGGGCCGTAGCCTCACGCTTGGATCAGGTTTCTGGTGCCAGCGAAGTTGTTGAATTCGGCGATCATTTACGTGGTACTAATAGCAGTTCACAACCACGAGTAGTGAAGGGTTCAAAAGCATTTTGAAGCGGGTCAGCGTCCCTGTCACTGGTGAAGCCCGGCGCAATGGTCGCACCACGGACGGAGTCAGTTCAATCAGAGGTTATGGTAGGTGACCCAGGTGGCCGAAAGAGCCCCGCAGGCGCTAAGCACGGCCGCACCGCACATGATGGCCGTGGCCGAGCCTCCTGCCAGGCCCACCAGTGGCCCCGCGCACAGGGAGAGGAGCAGCTGTGCCGGGAACATCATGCTGCTCACGATGGCCACGTCCGTGCCAAGGCCACGATGAGACCAGTCCGCCGACTGTTCCAGCTGCGACGGGGAATAAGCGCGTATGACTTGGTTTGTGTTACACAGTGTTGGACAAAATACTCGGTATGTAAGTTACTAAATACCTGCTTCGTAAAGTATTTAAGATACTACTCAAGTTACTTTCACTATAAAGTATCTTGAGTAGAGTACAAATACTTAGATAAGTAATTCAATTGCTTTTGAAGATACTTCCGCATCGCGTAATTTGTATCGACGTCAGTGAGAAACACAATTATGCAGTTGCGCATATCTGGTTTACCAGAGTGGTTTACTAGCACGCAACAGCAAAAAACTGCTAAAAAAAACTTAAAGAAAGACATCGTAGGGTTATTTTATGCAGTTCAACTAAAAGAAGCAGGATATTACTGATACATATTACAAAACATTTCTGGGACAAAAGAAAAAGGTAATTTCAGTTATAATGACATTGTTGAATATCACGCGCTGCGGCGCACCTTAGACGCATCGTTTAACTACAATCCATATTCTATACATGGAGAGTTGGCTATAAACCAACTTGGGATACAGAAATCAGTGAATGGGTAACAGCTTGTCGCGCCTTCTTCAAGTAGGTTGCGTTCAGAAAGGCCCTCAAAGATGGGAGACACTTTGTTGGCATTTTGAGAGGTCATCCTGCTTATAGTTCGTTTCCAGTCCTGTTCTCCGCTTAGCAATGTTCGCTTACAGAGTGTTCGCGAGAACAATAAATGCCGGACTGACAAAAAAAAAAAAAAAAAAGACCTCGACGTTTTGTCGTAGGGGGGTGAAATATACAAGCAAAAAAAAAAGTTTATTCTTTTTGTGTTTACGTCTTATTTTCTTCTATTTCTTGATACTGGAGTCTGCATTTCTGTTGTTGGTTGCTTCCCTTTCTGTGTTGCGCCTCAGTTTGGCAACCCTTGCCTCGGTGAAACCACCCCTTTTGTTTGATGATTTTTTTTTTGGGACAAACCCTGGGAAACAAAAGGCGCCTTTGTGAATACCGAGGGGAAAACCTTCATTCTACGAACTTGGGGGTGAAATATGAGTCACACTCGGCACAAAAGCGATCTTTTCACGAGCTCGATCTAAGTCACTGTAGCTCATCGGATCTAGCAACAGGACTCGGTTGCTCGAGACAATGTTCACGTTTGCTGGTTCACGCCCACGCCACTTCATACCGAAAAACTCGGAAAAAGGCGAAATGTCAAAAATATATTTGAGATAATGCGTACAAAATACCGAGAAATGTAATTAAAATCGAGTATAAAATACTCTCGATTAAAAGTATTTGCAAGATACCAAGATACTTCAAAAAGTATTCGTCCTGAATAGAGTACTTGAGATAGGCGCAAGTCTGGTGCTACAAAACGGAGAGTGAACCGAGTACTGGCACTGGTCCAAATAGGCGGCAAAAGAAGACGGATCGTGAACGAAAGAGACGGGTTGCCGAAACCGGTGAACATCGAAAGCGGCGTCAGGTAGCGGATTTCGTTGCTAAGCGTGCAAGGCGGGCGATTAAAACAGAGGAGCGGAAGTAGCACCTAGCTCGGCTTGGCGCTGCTTCCGTCGCGGAACATCCTTCCAAAAGAGATCTAAAAAAGAAACCCACAAAGCCGGAAAAAAACAAATTAAAGAAAGATCCATTGATGACCCACCAATGGATCTTCCTTTAATTTGTTTTCCGGCTTTGTGGGTTGATTCCGTAACTAGGTCAAAAAAGAGGCAGCAAAAAATTGAGGAAGCAAAAGAGAGAGTCAGAACAGAAAAGTGAAGGGGTCAGCGTTAGCGTTTCCGAAAGAGGGACCTGTGTGGAGTTTCCCAAGGGACATGCCAACGGATTTCCTAAGGATACACAAATGGATCTTCCTTTTCTAGATGATGTTGACTTGGCCCGGTACTTCTTTTTATCAATCCGCTTTCTGGGAAGTTCCAGCCTATTCTCTGCTCAATCGCGTGTTCTGGTTCAGTAGGTTCCTGAACGCGCCGCGTGTAAGAAAAGCAGCTTTAATGCGCTGCTTCAAGGCAGTCGCCCTTCTTTCACCGACACAGGATGTACGGTCTTACTGCTTTAACTTTTAGGCACAAGTTCGCTTTCATAAAAATATATTTCAGTCACCCGTCGGCGCTTTCGTTGTATCCGTGACAATATGCCTCTGGTGTAGTAGTACTGGAACGCGTACTGTTTGCAAATGATACAGCAAGCGGCTATAGACCGACACGTTGTTTACAAACAAGTTTGCGTTTGATGTGGGCACTGCGCATGCGCAAAACCACACTCGCGTGAAGAGAAGCGCCTGCACATGCGCCGACAACAGTGGCCACTGTAAAACCGTTTTTTTTTTATAGTTGACACTGTAAAAACAAAAGGAAGATACATTGGTGGACCTCACGGATGGGCAGTATTTCAAATACAAGTACTTGAAATACGTATTTCAAATACTTTGTGTATTTTGCATTTGTATTTAATTACAAATTGGGTAATGTATTTGACGTGTGTATTTAAATACTAAAATGTGGATATTTCAAATACAATTGTAATTAAATACAATTTTGTGGGCGAAAATACATTCCTCAAATTTATTGTCACTGTCCAGAGTAGAAAGAAAACTACGTTCTGCACCGAGTGCAGTGTCTCTCAATCAAGCACAAGCGTTTAGTGACTTCGTGATTACGGGGCTAGTCCAGGGCAAAAATAGTGACGAAATCGGCATTCACGGGCAGACTGGCTAAATAAGTGCCTGTGACAACTTGTGATGCTTTCCAGCCTGATTTCCACCTACATTTTTGCCTGAAACATTCTAAAAGCGCGGGTCATCCAGATTTTCGTAACTGGTGCGAGTTGCAACAATAAAAAATTATCTCGCTAGTGGTGCGCATCTTGGTCGTCTCGGTTTTTTCTTGGTCTATACCAAAATGTAATCGACAAAAAAAAAGCTGCTTGAAGCTCTGTAATTTTTTACCTACTACGTCCAAGCTGATTACATTTTTTTTGTGTGATTATATTTATATTACATTACTATCACACACTAACTCCCGAGTGTGGGATGCAAAATTAAAATGAGGTACTCAGAAACCCGCGGCATGTGACCTGAAGTCGCTGACGCAAATTTTGAGGAATGTATTTGGAAAAATATTTGGAGGAGACCAAATACATTTGGTTGTTTTTGTATCTTGTACTTAAATGCTTTTTTGGAAATGTAATTAGATTCGTAATTAAATACATTTTTGACGAAATATTTTGTATCTGTATTTCGATACATATTTGCATGTATTTTGCCCATCCCTGGTGGATCTTTAGAGAATACCTTAGCATGACCCTTGGGAAACGCCACGCACGTCCCCCTCTGGGAAACGCTTACACTGACCCCTTCACTTTTTTTTTTTCGGCTTTCTCTTTTGCTTTTTCTATTTTTTGCTGCGACAACGAGCGCCGTGACGATGCACTTTTGCTGCTGTTGACTGGCTTCATCGGATCCGGCTCGACCCAAATGTAAAGGCAAAGAGAGTGCAAGCCATACTTAGCGCCGCCATGCAAGTGAACTCGACATTCGCCCAATAGTGTAACTCTTTGTAGCGCCCGATACAGACAGCACGCCATCAGAGGGCGAAATCCGAGATATCTCACGATTCAAGATGGCGAAGAATTCCTCACGAACGGCAAGGGCTCGAGCCGGCCGGCGTTCTTTTACGCATTCTCGAGGGCGGATATGAGAAAGAAGCGTCGCGTGACAGAAAGTCATCGCGGCCCGATAGACGCACATAAAGGGACATACGATTCGGGTGGATTTCGTGCAAAGTTATGCACTTACCATGTGCGAGCAATGGTAGTGCGCCACCAGGATGAAGGGCATGGTGAACTGGGTGGCGTACATGAGGCCCGCGGTGGGCGACAGCAGCAGCACGGCAGCCCTGGTGCGACTCAGGGCCATGAGCGCCACCCCGACGGTGTACGCCAGCTGGCCACACACGTACACCCGCTTGGCGCCTGCAGCAATGACATTGTTGACCGCGAGGGAGAAGCGCACCAACGACTTTTGTTTACGTTCCTCAAAACTGGGGAAAAGAAAACCACAAATACATAGGGTAGGGGTGGCCGCATGCGGCTCTCATGCGTGCTAACGGGCGGCTCGTGGCTCCCAGATAAATATACCTCCACCACCGCCCTTCCCTCCCGGTACCATGAGCACTTCGCCAAAAAGAAAAATGGAACGCGTTTAATATTGAAAGACAGGTTGCGGTTTGGTAGTCCATCTTGGACTACTGCTACCTTACGCACAGTTAGACTGCTTTTGACTCGGATAGATCTAAAGTACTTCAAGTTTCATTTACTGCTCTGGACAAAAGTTTCCCCCCTCCTCCCCCCCCCCCCCCCCCTCCTTGCTGCCTTTTCTCTTCCAGGCGGCTCTTGGAAGATTAATGGTTTTGTTTGCGGCTCTTAGGCCGGGTTCTGGCCACCCCTGATATAGGGTGTCCACAATTATAATGGATGCTATCGCTTTGAAATTTTCCGAAAAAAAATCGGCGTCTGCACGTACAAAGCTCGAACTTTAACCGAATGTACATTTAGGTGGTGCATTTTACCTGGTGAAATTTCAAGACGTAGCTTTCGTCCTCTGAAAAATAAGACCAACAAACTTAGCAAAGTTTACGGCGGACGTGTTCGCAGACGACCAAGTTATCGATGGTTGGAACTTGCGGCGCCATCTTCCGATAGGCGCGGCAATACGACGTACTCTGTCGTCTGCACGGCTCTCGTAGAACACGTCCGCCGTTGACTTTGGCAAGTTTGTTGGTCTCAGTTTTCACAAGAAGGAAGTCACGCCTTGAAATTTCACCAGGTTAAATACAACACCTATAGGCCCATTCCGTGAAAGTTTGAGCTTTCTATATACAAGCGTAGATTTTTCCAGATAGTTTTAAAAGAGCGTAGGACCAATCGTGGACACCTTATACTCTACTATATAAAAATAATTTCGTATGGAAGCCCTAATACACAAGGAACAACAAATAATAATAATAATCGTCATAATCATCTTCATGTTGTGTTTATGTTCACACATCTCGAAGCTAGACAGCTTGAGCATGTGGTGTCTCAGCTGTAAATGAGAAATTTAGCTCGTGCAGACCGACCGCTAGCCGGGCGTCTTTAACGTGCACCACGCTGTAGTTATACACGACCGCACGCCGATACGAGGCTCATCCAGATCGAAACGGGCCGGGGGGGTTAGGGTACTGTACTTACCATTTCTGGATTCTGCAGCGCGAGCTTTCGCTCCACGTGCCCCGAGCTGGTGTGCGCTAATCCAGTGACTTCAGTGTGCGCTAGCCCACTGGGTCACCTAGTACGTAAACCGTATTTTCGCTGAAAATGCGTAATATTTTCTATCGAAAATACGTCAACCGTATTTTCCTTCGCCCACACCAATGCTGTATAGTCCGCAGAAGCAAATTTTGAGGAAACAAAAAGCTTTTTCTCGTAATTCGCACCTGGTGCAGAACCCGCACTAGGTGTGTACATCGTCCATATCTTATTCTTCTTAAAAATGGTAAGTCGTGAGTTCCCTGAAAGGGACTGCTCCTCATTATAAGCCAATGCCCATGTGAATCATCCTTAATTATGTTGAATAAACCTGAGAGGGGCAGAAACGAATATGTAAGTCGAAGGAACAGAAAAAGACAGGACGACGTCTCAACTGAGACGTCATCCTGTCCTTTCCTGTTCCTTCGATTTCCTCCGTATCTTCCCCTCCTCCTCTTTCCTCCTCCTCTCCTCCTGCCACTGACTTTGTTCGTGGGTAACGTGACACGAAGTCCTGACGTCATTTTCCCCGCTAAATTTAGCGGGGAAACTGAATTGGTGTTGAGGTCACGGGACGTCAAATCCCCGCTAAACTGAGCGGGAAAATTTTTCATTAAATTTAACGGAAAATTTACCCACTAAACTTAGAGGGAGCAGTTTACTCGCGAACCTTAACGGGAAAATTTCGCGCTAAGTTTAGCGTAAAAATTTACCCCGCTGAAGTTAGCGCGAAATTTTCCCGTTAAGGTTAGCGGGTAAGTTTAGCGGAAAATTTTCCCCGCTAAGTTTAGCAGAAAAATTTCCCGTTAAAATTAGCGGAAAAATTTTCCCGCTAACTTTAGCTGGGAGACGTCCCATAATAGGGTGATGAAAATAATCCCTGGAGAAGGGGAACAAGAAAGACAAAGGACAAACACAAATCTCCAAACACAGCTAGGTGACTGGTGTCGCTCACCAGTCACCTAGCTGTGTTTGGAGATTTGTGTTTGTCCTTTGTCCCTCTTGTTTCCCTTCTCCAGGGATTATTTTCATCATTCTTGTCCAGCTCACTTGCCCCTTGGCATTTAATTGCATTATAATTATAATAGGGTGTTTTCGTAGATGGTTTTCGCCATCCCGCAACGTTCTCCGCAACCCGCTACGATACTCGGAACTCTACACTGAAGGCCATCGGCGCGCAGGCGCAGTAGCGGCTTTTCCAAAACTGAGGGCTTAGCGGGGGTGGAATCGCGGTTTACGAAAACTCCCCAACGAAACGCGCGCGTTTACGTTGACGCCAACGCCGACACCGACACTGCTGAACCCGGAAACGGGCGCCTAAAAGCTGCGCTCTAAAGACAGTAGGGAGTTTTAGAATAGCGCACGCTAAAGCTTTGCGTACGCAAAGAATAGCGTCGTCGCCACTGCGCATGCTCCGAACGCAAACCAGGTTTTGCGCTTTGCGTGCGCAATTTTAGCACGCGCTATTTCTCGGAAATAGCATGCGTACGCAAAGAGTCTTTGCCATGGTCTTTGCGCTTCTCCAAGAAGGATTCGTGATGAGAAGTTTGGCTAAAGCCAAGATGAGCACAGTTAAAACAAATGGCGGCTTCCAGGATTATGTCGGCGGCTGCTTTGGCGGCGTCGTGAGTGCGACGTCGGCGGCATCCTCGCGACTGCAATTTTCAATACGGGACGAAATTGTACTCGGTTTGGCAGCGATCACCGGCAACTTGATGCTTGCGACGCGCGAACGTTTCACGGCGAAGGTCAGTACACGAGACCTCTCTTGCCGAGGCGACGCAAGCGGACACGACCGGTCAACCGCTCGCGTCGCGTTCTTATGTTTAAACAAATTAAAATGCTACTCTGGACCAAAAAACTCGTTTTTTTCTAAAGTTACATCATTTCGTGTGTGAAATAAAAGTTTTTACTGTATCTGGGTGGCGTCGCAAGCACGAGATGCTTGGGCTTTTGCGTCGCGGCGGAGAAACGCTATTCTAAAACTCTTCTGCGTCGCGTGCACTAATACAAGCGCTAAATTTAGCGCTAGCGTGCGCTAAAATTGCGTACGTTATTCTAAAACTCCCTAGTCTTCCGTGTTGGCATGTAGCATGTTGAAGTGGCATGCACATTGCCCACAGGCTGTCTTTTTAAGTGTTACGCTTAGTCTTTTCATTTGCAGAGTTCCCTCCGTATATAGACAAACACGCGGCCCTGACGTCACGCAGCTGCGGTGGCGCTGTCGACGGCACTGCGCATGGGCAGACGCTTCACTTCACGCGAATTTGGTTTCTGCGCACGCGCAGTGCCCACACCTTGTGTGGGCAAAGGCGGGCTTGTTTGTAAACAGCGTGTCGGTCTATATACAGCGGTGATTTACGTTTTTAAGCGATTTGCGGGAAATAAAGCGCCTTAGATTTCTTAACGTGATTGTGGTCCGAAAAATACTGTACTCTCTTTAGTAACTTCCGCGATAAAGGCTCGTTACACACTGCCAGCTATTTCCACAGAGCTAAAGAAAAATTATTCATGACAGTGCTAATTCGTTACCTTCAAAACAGAAAAGGGTGATAGACACTCACCGAACCGGCGCACAAGTCGCTCGATGAAGAGTGAGTAGGAGGCGCAGGACACGGAGTACATGGCGAGGCCGAAGCATCCGAGCCGCACGCCTTCCTGGTACAGTTTGAAAGCCGCTGACTCTTTGGGTGCCACGGGGTCACCCTCGTACACGACGGCACCGACAAACTCGGTGAGGAACAAAGAGAAGCTCACGAGCGACATCCAAGAAAAAAGGTTGGTTATGCACAAGATCCGCAACGATTTGGGCATAAAAACGATAGACCTGAGGTAGCTTTTTAGTGTCGGGCCTGAGACTTCCGACTGTTCGAGCTTGGCACTCGGCCTCAACTTCGTCAGCTCAACACTCTCACCATCAAAATCATCGTCCTTGAATCCTTTATAGTGGCCGCCTTGACCCTCGAAAAAGCCCGCAGCTTCCGCTTGCTTCGCAATGTGCAACGGCATCTCCCTGAAACTGGTCAAGGTGCCAAGGACGCAGATAATGAACATCACAGCGACAATGGCGAACACGGTTCTGACATGACCTCCCATGCTCGCTCCCAAAGCGGTTTGTTCCCAGTTGATACCACCCAAGACGTAGCCCATGCAGCCGCCAAGACCGGAAAGCACCGTGAACGTGGTCAGGGCCCTCGCGTGATCTGTCGCAATGGTGACGTCGAGGACGTAGCTCCTGGACGGAGACTGGCAGGCGTCACAGCACATGTCCAGAAGCACGAACCCGACAACGGTAAAGGCGATGCCCCAGTTTGCCGGCTGGACACTACCTCCTTCGTCGGTCAGGCTCAAGTTGCGGGGTATGTACGAGTCGCCGAGGGCGATGCCGAATTTCTTCCCGTTCGGAACGAGCAGCAGTCCGGCGAACATTCCGACGGAGAGCAGGATGATGAAAGGACGTCGGCGCCCGATGCGCCATTTGCAGGTGTCGCTGAGAGAGCCCAGGAGCGGAGTGACAAAGAACCCCAGTAAGGGACTCAGGCACATGGTCAGGGCGAAAGCGGAGATGGGCAGGCCGAGCTCCAGGAGGATCGGGCCGATGAATGCGGTTTCGGCAGCGTAACAGAACTCGATCCCGCACACGGCACCACTAAGGAGGACTAGCTCCCAGGAGGTCTTCCTTCGGAAGATGTGCGAGTACCTCGATGAAATATCCTCCAGCTTACTTGGGTCTTCCACGACTTTCATTGTCCCTGAACAAAAGATGGGGAGGGGGTAAAAATTAGAGTGGCTCCCGGAGAACCTAATGAAGGAAGGGATGAAGCACAGCACAGGAGGACGGCTAGTCTGACCTGGGGCATTGTCCCGATCGGCTACTCTGCGAGGGTGAAAGAGATGTGGAGAAGCTTTCAAACAATGACGATTATAAAAGCATAAGAAGGCGATGGTGCCTGACTGGAGACTCAGACTTGCAGCTACCATGGCTATGGATTCTAATCTCTCCATGTGCGGCGCGTCATGCACCGATTAGGAATTACAGTCACAGACAAGAACGCGTGCAAATACACTGTAGACGCTATAGGCCGGTCATCCTGTTCCATCGGCTCCTCAGTGTCCTGTGCTTCCTAAATTGTCCGTGAAACGGGAGCGTTAGGCTGCATTCTGCAGTGGTAACCAGGCCACCAGATAGGTACGGGACGCGGGACGCCCGTCACGGAGTGGGACTTGGGGCGGACTAAGGTGGGACCTTCAGGGCCTCAGGGGTTCAGCTCAACGCACGGTGAAGCCTCCGGACACTACCCTAAAAGGCGATTCACACACTTTCGTTTAATCCGACGGAATGCGAGGGTTGCTATGGCAACAGCTGCATCGGCTCAAAGAAAAAAAAACGGGTGAAAACCGGTTTTGTTGGAGCCGACGCAGCGGTTCCCATAGCAACCCGCACGTCGCAAGCCGTTGCAGTTGCTGCGTGCATCGCCCTTCAGGCGCTTCTACGGACACGTCTTTGGGCTCAGTCAGGGCATCATGGCACCCACCACCAGAATCGCGAGAGCTGGGGCCCTAATCTACACGGCGGGACAAAGCAGGCCACCTACTGTGATCAATCAGCGGCTTGGAGCTCCCTAATCGTAGAAAGCGGCGATGTCCCATGTCCTTTCGTCCCGCCGTGTAGATTAGTGCCCCAGCTGTGCTGTCGCTTCTGCGTGCAACCCATGTATAACATGGGTTGCACGTGACGTCATTCAAAGAGCGCTGCGATGACCACCAGAGAAGAGGGCAGGAAGGAGCTCCACTCTTATCAAGACCCTCTTTTGTGCCTCCCGGATTTGAACAGGCGCCGATATTCTCCTCCCTGAAGATTATAGAAGATTAACCTGTCACTCAAAATTCTTACAAAAGCAGCTTCCCTCTCCTCCTCTTACATGGTGGTCAAAAGTATACGATGTGACGTCAGTGCAACCCATGTATACGCTAGAAAGACGTATACGGCCTCCGCATACATCTTCTTAGCGCTTATGACTATGCACGCATTTGCATTCTCTGATACTCCGCAGAAGAGAACTACTGCGCATGCTCAGAGTGCGTTCGACAGCCAAGTGAAGAAACATGGTAACGAAAAGAATGCAAAATTTTTATGTGGTCTATACATGACTTGCATGTGACGTCATCGCACTGTACCGATGGTCATTTACTTGATCTTGCCTAGAAAAAAATTCGGTGGTGCGACGATGTATACACCAACGCAGTGTTTCCAAACAAGCCCGCTTTGCCCTCACCAGGTGTGGGCACTGCGAGTGCGCAGAAACCGAATTCGGGAGGTGTGGAGCGCCTGCGCATACGCAGTACCGACTGCAGCGCCACCGCAGTGGCCTGACGTCAGTGAGTTGATTTGGCCTACACTGCAGAAGGTTCGCGCGCAGCAAAATCATTCACGATGACCGCTGAGGTGGCGACGGCAGTGCAAGCCATATACTATAGACGGGTGCGTGTTGGACAACGTTGTTGGCAAGTCACTTTCAAGAAAATGAAGAGGTAAGCTCTTTCACTATGGTATTTCATACCTGTGTCTCGCCGGTGCTCCAGGACGATGTCGGACAATTTTAGAGACGCGCTTTCGGTGGCCTGGTTGCCGTTGGGACTGCACTGCAGTTCCTCGGCTGTCCTGGAGTGGCAGATTAACAAAGCGAAAATATGGGTTCCTAATGGTTACTTCTCGCCAATGAAGATTTGTGTGTAGCCCTCCGCTTCTTCTGCTGGAGAGCACCCTCCTGGAAGCGAGTCTAAAATGAACATCCCCGCACATACGCTTCCTGCTGGAGGCTCAAACACGAGAATGTGTGCAACCCGAAACTATATGTGCGGGACTGCTCACCGAACAGTCTTGGTGAGCGGCAAAGGCTACAAATCCAGTGAGCCAATCAGCACGTTGAAGCGAGACATGTCACATCGTATTGTCGGAGTGCCCTCTCCTCCGAAGAGCTGTCAGGTGTTCTACTCTGTCTCTCTGATTGGCAGGAAAGGTGCCGTAGCTTTCGCTCTTTGCCAAGTTCTTCGTACCGCACGATAAAACAAAGCAAAACAGAAGGCGAAAGAAAGCAAGAAACAAGTTAATGTGAACTTATCTTCGTCTCATAAATGTCTGCAGTAAAGACAAAGGCAAAAGCGGGTCAGCGTATAGCTCAGCAGAATACTCTTGTTTTTACGAGAGCTCCTGCATAGGAGGTACTTTCCAAAGCTACGCGCTCGTGCCTATGCTTAAACTGCAGAACTCTGCCAAAATCAGTTGTGCGAGCTCACGTGAATGGGACGCAATAGTACCACTAAATAAGCTACGCTTCAGAGTAACGACAACTGAGCCATCTTGGTGCTTAAAATTTTTGTTGCTAGTTATCTAGAGCTTTATCGGGAATCGAGGATAATAGGTTTCCTTTCTATGGAAAGGTAAAAGCAGTCCGCGACAGAGCAAAACACCGAGCTCGGGAAGTCGCATTTTCGAAACGTAACGATCGCCAGTTGCGCCCGCCCTGCACTAAGCACCAAGATGGCAGCGCTAGGGGAGAGTCGGGGAGTGAGGTGCCGATACTCTAAGCGCCTATTTAGTGGCTCCGTATGACGAAGTCCCTCGTGCTCTCGCGGCAGGGCGGGGCAGCAGCACTGTGGAAGCTGTCTTGAAATGTTGCACAAAATAGTTGACGCCGAGTGTGAGCCGCCTCTTTGCGTTAAAAATCATTACACGCCTTTTCAAGAAAGGTGGAATTGATGCAACGCATTTCGTCTTAAAAAGCGCTTGTGGCAGAGTTTATAGGGTTGCTTTTTTGCTTACCATAAAAGTTATCAATATTATATTCAAGTGGGTCCAGTTGATGCCTGGAGCATTAAAATGCCCATTAGCAAGAGCTTGCACACGCCTAACTCATCGAGTGTATAGGAAGTATTCACTGGTGGCCATAGCTGTGTGCGCGACTGCTGAGCGCGTGCTGATGGCGAGCTTCCACGGTTCTTTTGCAACGTGCATTCCGCACCAGCAAGAGTGCCGGTCTTAGTATCCTATTGATGTGAGCTCGTTCTGAGCATGCGCTCTAAACAGCACCCACAAATATGGCGTCCAGTCAATACTCCCTATAGATGACTCAAAGCTAACAAGACACCTGTGAAAATCATCTGGTGTCATTCGAGGAGGGAAATAAAACAAATCGATTACAACGCGCCTTCATTGCACACTCGGCCTCGAACCATACACTCTCAGAGAAGCTTTCTAAGTCCTCACGAGATCTGTAACGCTAGCCAACTGTGACCAGCACATCGCCTCTAGCCCTACTCCTTGCAGTCAAATCGCAGCGGCGCGATGCACTTCAGTATGAGGAGGAATATAATCCGAAGAACTAATGCGGCAACATAACTAAGTTTTCTTGAAACAAACAATAGAGTAATTGGATAAAGTAATGTTAGAAAAACAACATAAAAAAGCATTATGTTTTCTTTCGTAGACCGCGGACGGGTTAATAGAACAATTAATCTTACGATGGGCCAGCTTAACCAAGATAGCCCGCCAAAAAAAGAAAACCACCATTCATATCGCTGTAAGAATGACCGAACTAGCTCAGCTTAAGCCCGCGACTTGATAGAACAATTCAACGTTACCCATCGGTATACTTTACTGTGGGTGTGGAGGCTTCTCTGGATTCGTAGAAATCTTCTCGGAGAGTGCCCCTAAAATGCATGAAGATGACGATATTTGGGTCACAGCGCAGGGTCTGAGAGTTTGCCCGAGTCCTCGGCCGCCACAGACACGTAGAATGAAGAATTAGTGTCAAAGGGGGTCTTCAGTCTCCGGCACGCCAGTTTCTGGAGACCGACTGAAGACAGATGACAGATCACGTCTCCACAGGTGGTGTCTGGGGCCAGCTGGGTCACAAACAACGGAGTTCGGCGCCTTGACGGAGGGGCAACGCTCAGTTCGCAGGTTTCGGACGCTCCGTTCCGCGCAGTGGTCCGACCTTTCGGGCGTGTTGACGTCAGCTCGTTGATCGGCAAATCGTCCTCTGGCGAAGCAACATTTTCCCGTTCTACAGGAACCGGCTGGTCTACGGCGTGTACAGAGGACGTCAGAGGACGTCAGAGGAGTGCTTTTCGCTGCAGCAGCACATGAAAGAATGCCACGGAGCGTTCCCTCTGCTTTGGCGTCAACCGATCCCCGTTGATTCTGCGTGTCACGCAGATTCAATAGGGAAAGGCAGTAGTAGTAGCAGTAATAAGGAATAGTGCTAGTAGTAGTAGTAAGAAGTAGCAGTAGTAGTAATTGTAATAATACTAATAAGAACGATAATAACATACTTAAATTTTCATTATAATTTTTTGCTTTAGTAAGATCAGCTGAATTCAACTATTAGCGGCTCCATGACAGTGCACGGCCACGTACTCCGATCGATCGGGATTGAGTCAACTGGCGATGTTGGTTAAATGTTGAGAGCGCTTGTGTAACAAGACTAAAATAATTGGCTTGCTCTTTATGTTTATACAGCCTTGATGGAGATGCGCCTCAACGGGTAATCGGTCTCTTAGCTGTAGATGAGAAATTTGGCCAGTGCGGTACAACCGCTAACCTGGGGTTTTTAACGTGCATCACGCAGTAGTGATCACACGAACGCGTGCCGGTACGAAACTCATCCAGATCGAGACGGGCGGGGGCGGCGGGGATCGAACCCAGGAGGTTCCCAGCGCAAGCTTTCGCTCCACGCTCCGAGCTG